TTTAGAGATGTTGCACAAATGGAAGAAAGCAGTCTTACATATTTGTTTAATATGTGCGTTGAAGGACATGTCCTGGTCAGTAGCCAACTACTGCTCGTTGGTCTATTGCATTTCATGTCTGGTGATTCAAACAGGCTGATAAGGAGACTGACAGAGAAAGTAGACAGTATATCCTCAGTTTAAAATAAACTCATTGTTACAGCACGAAAGATCCCTTTAACCTGATTTTTAGTTTTAATGTGCTTATTTTCCTCTGGGTTATTGATTCTTTCTCTAGTCAGCTAACATAAACCCGTGTAAGTCTATTAGCCACAACCAACCAACCACATGATGCCACATTCTGTACTGACAAAAGATGGCACTAAACATGTTTTAAAAACTTTAACTTTAAGGACTTTTTTCTCAAATCCATCTTCACAGACAGAGTTATATCTCTGTCAGTTTTTGAGAGCACAGCTCAGTGGTATATATGAGCCTTTATGTCTATTGCATTTCATGTCCCCTTTAATGATTTTTATCTTATTCTATTGATTTTAAAAAGTGCCTAAAAGTAATTAGTGGTCATTTTCGGCCTCTGACTTTTTATTAGCACTGTTCATGTGTGGCATGTCTTTCATCTCAGTCTTTAAAACGAAATGTAAAAATGTAGCTATCCTCTATGGGCTCACGGTTTGCCAGATACCAAAACTTTATAAAATAATCATTTTGAGGCTAACTTTGATCTTTAAGTGGGTACATGTAGCTTAGTATCAGTTGTTGTTGTATCAGTTTTGTAGTGAGTTATCAGAATGAAGGCAGCAGCAGACTGATGACTAACCTTGTGTTGTGGATGGATCATCTCAGGTGTTCTCCTGACTGAAGTTTAGTCTGTTTCCTGCCATGACTGCATTTGTCTCTGCCCATCAGAAACTCTCGCATTAAGTTTTATTGAAGGGAAAAAAGCGTTCATCTGCCATCTGCACTCTGCGCTCTGCTAATGTGTTTATATAATTCTAGCAATAGCTCTGTAGCTAACCGTTAGGTAGCACAGCATTCACGCAATGGTCATGAAGTGATTGCAGAACCGTAAGTTTTAGTTTATCAGAAATCCCTCAGTCAGAACATTTTATATCATCTTTAGATGGAAACTAGTGAGATAACTTCCTGCTAACTTCTCATTACTGTCATGGGCTGTGTGCAGCATGCAGGAATGGACAACCCAAAATAAAAACTCAAAGGCAGAACTAAACTCAAAAAACAGCTTTATTGTTGGACAAATAAATACTGGAACTAAACTGCGTGGGGCTAGAAACTAATGTACAGGCAGAACACACAGCAAAGAAAGAGGGAGAACAGAAAAAGGATAGAGGGAGATGCAGACATAAATACACTCGTGGGCAAACGAGGGAACAAACCACAGAAGGGAACACAGCTGAACATGATCTAACTGACAAGGGAAAGCAAAACTAAACACACCGAACATGGAACACAAGACTGTCACAGTAAAACAGTAATGGTGAAACACTGACTGACACAAGCTTGACCATAAGACATGGAACACACAGACATGAACATAACAGAATGAGGAGACAAGATGGAACACAAGGAGAGAAACACAGAAACAAGTAGGGGAGACAAAGAGGGTGAGAAAACACAAGAGAGCGGGAGCGACATGAAGGGCTGGGGAAATATGGATAAACATGAGAGACAGGGGAGGCATGGAATGAACACAAGGAGGGGAACATGGGCACATAAAAGGGGAACAAGACACAAAAACACACACATAAACACCGAACATACAGAGAGGGACACAGAGGACGAAGACACAGGGGGAACCTAATAGACAAGAACTAAACAGGCACACCTAGAAAATTCAAAATATAGAGTAAACTCACGACAAACTAAATAAACTTTAAACATAAACCACACTGTTAAAAAAAACATCTTAAAAAAACGGTAATATTCGGGACTCTGGGGTGCCAAAATACTACCGTAAAATAACAGAAAATAACTTCCTCATGAAAATACGGTTATTTTCAGTAATGAAAATAGAGTTTGTTGCGCTAATTTTACATGGGATTCTGCCTTTTCCAAGTGCTTTTAGACATTAAATTAGGAACATTTTAACGTGATCAAACAATGACATTACCTATAAACAAGGTCAATGTGGCAATATGAATCATAATACGTAAATGTAGAGAAATATACAGTTAAATTAAATAATAATGGATTGCATGCCCTGGGACAGACTGACAGAGGCGAGGCTACCATATCGCACCATCGGCCCCTCTGGCAATCACCAGTAGGCGGTAGGTGAAGAGTCTTGACCACAGACACAACGACCGAGAGTGTCCGAGCCGGGGCTCGAACCGGCAACCTTCTGATCAAAAGGCGAACTGCCAACTTTTGAGCCACGATCGCCCTAAATAGCAATGATAATAATACTTATGTGATGTAACACAAACCTATAGGAATCATGTTATATACTTTTCCATAGCATTACATTTGAATTCAACAGTTTGATCTTTCAAATAACGGACAGATATTTGTGAAATCATGATACATTTCTGAATGTATTTTAACAATCTAAATATGCATAAGTACAGACAGATACATTTAATAACCATGAAAATTATGTTTTATTACATTACAGTGATTTAACGTTAATTTACATTTGAAATGTGAAATCACAGTCTATTTACGTAACTTTAATGATAGAAGAACAGAACAAAACTGTAAAATGCAGTAAAATACTTTTATATTAGGATTTTTTCCTACAGTGCAGCCATACCCGCGACCTTGTGGTTGTTAGTTCACATTCATTGGCCGATGCTTAGCATCATGTTATTATGTGTCCCAACATCCAATGGCATGTC